CGTTAACGATCAAAGAATTCCGAGAGCTTCGCCTTGACGTGAGACAAGGTTTTAAGTTTGTCGGTCGGAATTAGGCAACCTTGCTCCTCTCCTCATCCAGAACTACCAAAACAATATCTCAAACCTCTCAAAAATGGCAGGATAGACCATCCTCGACCTGTGTTACATAGCCATGTAATTTTTGGAGCGTTATCGACCTTAGGAGAGCTGGAAGAAAGCAGGCACGTGATCCCCTTCACTCACAAAATTGCACAGCCCGATATTGTCGACGTTGTCGAAGCTGCTCAAAGGACGACAAAAGGCTGGGGCTGTGCACAGATTGTTGACATTTTCAGCTCCGCAAGCCTATGATCCTCGCGCTACACAGCACGGTGGACAGTCCGTTCTGTTCGGTTGCCTGTGATCCACTTCCAAGTTTCAACTGGAGGCTTTGATGTTGGTACAGCGTGTGTTGATTGGAACGGAGACCACGCCGTGTCCTTCTCCGTATGAAAGATTGCAAGCTGTACTTGCTATACGTCTACTCCAATCTCACATCCAATTCCATTCGTCACCTCCAGCTGAGTACAACAAAGTGGAGCTTAATATATATTTCTTCCCGTACTATTTAGGGGATTCTCTTCTCAAGGTTAGTTAGCTTACAACTAGCCTTGCGCGGAGTCCAACTCAGGATGTAGTAAGGGTTCTTTCTTTCCGAGTTCCGTCTATCAGCTTCTGCGTTCCTTTCCTTCACCATTCCGTAGTATTCGGCGGAGGATGTCGATCATATTATCAAAGTTACCCGCATACTGAGGTACGTTGCGGGATGAAGATTTACGGAACGGGGAACTGTGATATTCCCAAGAATATTTCCAAAACAATATTAGTGGAAAGAACCCCGAGTGATCTCCTTGGGTGCCGTAGCCCCCGTAAGCCGCCGGAAGGGCCCAAAAAAAATCCGGAACAGGCTGAATCGCTTTCCTTTCATAATTACAATATCATCGTTCTGACAAGAGAGACAATCTGCAATGCCAGTCTTTCGATTGTGAGATAATCTGTTACATTACATGTGAGATTCAATGGTAGTACTCCTTTGCTTTGTGGTTTTCTTGATTTTTACCAAAACTCCACGTTTGATGGTAAATGTCGTTGGGGCACATGGGACGTTGTCTTTCGACTTCCTTTATGTTCTGGAGAGGCATCAGCCTGAGAGAAGCAACGCTTTGACTGTTGGTACCAAAGCCCAAATTAGTGTAATGCCTAGCTTCTTTTCATGAATACTGAGAGATAAGTTGACTACTCGCTGGGCAGGCGGATTGGCTCGATTGTCCATGGCGCAATATTTTCCGGGTCCGCTAGAGACTTCTCCTCATTCCCCATCTGACATTTAATATTCAACTGTCTGCAAAAGCAGAAGTCGATGTCGCGATCCCTCACTTTCTAGCCATTTCTATCTGCGGGTACCCGCTTTTGTGGGAGGGGATGGAAACCCGAGACGCGTGGGAGGACGTTCTATCAGTTCTCCCCGCTTCTTCGCAGCTTCCACACTTGTGCCCGCCGATGCCCTCCTGACCTGCGCTTCCAGTCACGAAGCGAGCGTGCAGTGTGGCTGAAGCTGCTAAGCTCGTCACGCACTTGCTGGATATAGCTCTGCGTCGGGAAAGGTGCGGTGGGGATGGCAGGTGAGGCTTGGGTATAAATACGGCGTTGGTTAGAATTATTCTTCAGAGCAAAGTTTTCTCTGTTCTCTGCAGCGCGAAGTTAAGCTAACAGTAAAAATTGTAACGATGCGTCCCTTCTCCGTTGCTCTTGCTGTTGTGTCTTTTCTGGTCGGAACCACCGTCGCTGCTCCAGTCTCTCACTTGGAGAAGCGAGTCACTCAATGTAAGTTTTATTTCTTACAAGAGAAAGCAGTGTTGACTCTCAACCTAGCCGTGTACGATGAGCTCGTCTATTACTTCCGTTACGCGTCCTCGGCTTATAGCGACACCTGCGCGAAGCCCAATGGGAACACCTTCGTCCTCCAGATCGATAATTCAGGCACGAATACGCAGGGGTTCATTGCTCGCGACGACAACAAGAAGGAAATCATAGTTGCCATGCGTGGAACGACGAACGTTGCCGATGGGTTTACGGAGTGCGTTGCATCGTCTACTGCCTTCTTTAGCTCAGCTTCCCCGCATTTTTAGTATCAGCATCATCCAGAAGAAGTACAGTTCCGTTGGTGTCACCCCCGCCGACGATGTGTATGTTCACAGCGGTATGTTTCCATTCGTCAATGTCAAACATGGCGGCTGAATATTCTTGTTAAGGATTCCTGAATGCCTGGAACTCTGTTGCACAGGTCGTCATCAACGCTGTTAGTGCACAACTGGCAGCTCATCCAGGCTACACGATCGTGACCACCGGGCACTCGCTTGGAGGTGCACTCAGCTCCTTGGCTGCTGTGAGCATGAAGGGGAACTTTCCCAACTCGTGCGTCTCCCTATACTTGGTGGGACGGGAGTTTCCTTCCTGACTCCATTTTCCAGACCAGTCCGAATGTACACTTACGGCCAACCCCGAACTGGAAACAATGCCTGGGCTTTCTGGGTCAATAGTCTCTTTGGAGAGAACGCAAAACGAGCAGTGAACGCTGATGATGGAGTGCCAACACTCATCCCGACTTGGATCGGTTATCGCCATCACGTGCGTAGAACACCTTCTAATTCTCGCGGGATATTCACTGTGCCTGTCATGAAGGGCATCGAATACTGGACAGAGACCTCCCCAGCCACTCCCGCCGACACTGTCAAATGCGCTGCAGATGGAGAGGTGAGCTTTGGTCTTCAAAGTTTGTCTTTATACCTGTCGCTCATGTGCACAAAGGACCCCAACTGCTCTGCATCTAATCCAGGAGGAATAAACTCCGATCATACGACTGTGAGCTTAGATATTCGTTTTTCCCCCACTTACGACCCCTAATACTCTGAATGCAGTATTACAATACCGCCTCACTTGTGGCTTATTGCAGCTAAGCCAAACGAACCAAAAATGATGATGATCTGACGAACATCTCAACGAAATGTATTAAATGCAGCTGTACCAATGGAACAAGCATCAAAATTCGCCAGAGACTTTGCTCGTTCCTAATTTGTTGAAGTATCACATATCAATATTGATCTGCAGTTTGCAGAAGAGCTGAAATGGGAAGCGAGGGATCGCAACTTCGGTCTGCGGAATTCGCATTCGATGGGTGGGAGGTGGGATCGAAAGCCGAGACGCGTGGGAGGACGGTCTATCAGTTCTCCCCGCCTCGCAGCCTCCACACTCGTGTCCTGCTGATCAGGCGCAAAGAGAGCTGCAGTGTGGCTGGAGCTGTAAGATCAGCGCGTAGCTGGATATAGCTCGACGTTGACTGTGGGTGAAGATGGGTGGGTATAAATAGGGAGTGGTGATGGCATTGCTCATCAGAGCACAGGTTTGTCTTTCAGGCGTCGTGTGTGAGTAGCAAAGGTTGTGAGCTCGAGGATGGGTCCCTTTTCCGTTGTTCTTGCTGCTCTCTCCCTTCTGGTCGGAACGACGTTGGCGGCTCCCGTCTCCCGCTTGGAGAAACGAGTGGATCAATGTACGTGCCTTACTTCCTTCTCACACAAGGAATCAACTGACTCTCGAATAAGCCGTGTATGACGAGCTCCTCTATTACTTCCGTTACGCGTCCTCCGCCTATGGCGACTCTTGCGCCAAACCAAACGGCAATACTCTCGTCCTCCAGATCGAGGACCTGAACACGGACACTGAGGGATTCATTGCTCGTGATGATAACAGGAAAGAAATTGTTGTCGCTCTCCGTGGATCTTCGACTATTGACGATGCGTTTACGGAGTTCGTTACGTCTTCACCTGCCTTTTTTGACTCATCTTTCGTGGACAAACAGTGTCAGCATCCTCCAAAAGCCATACAGTTCAGCTGGTGTAACTCCCGCCGACGATGTGTATGTCCACGGTGGTACGTCTGCATTGCCAGCGCCGAACTGGGACTGAAATATTAGCAGGATTCCTTGATGCCTGGAATTCGGTTGCACAAATTGTCATCGACACTGTCAAGGGACAACTCGCATCTCATTCCGATTACACGATCGTGACAAGTGGACATTCCCTCGGTGGCGCTCTCAGCTCTTTGGCCGCTGTTAGCATGAAGGGGAACTTTCCCAACTCGTTCGTCTCCTTATACTTGGTGGGAGGGGGGTTTCCTTCCTGACTCCATTTTTCCAGACCGGTACGGATGTACACTTACGGCCAACCCCGAACTGGAAACAATGCCTGGGCTTTCTGGGTTAATAGTCTCTTTGGAGAGAATGCGAAACGAGGCGTTAACGCAGACGATGGAGTGCCCACACTTATACCCGTTGAAATTGGTTATCGCCATCACGTGCGCACACCTACTTTTTCCGCTACAAGATATCGTAATCTGTTTTACCATGAAGGGTATCGAATACTGGACGAAGGATTTCCCTGCCACTGCTAGCAACACGGTAAAATGTGCTGCAGATGGGGAGGTGAGCTTTGAGCTTTCAGTTTGCTCTTGTACCCGACGCTCACATCTAGTGAGACAGGACCCGAACTGTTCTGCATCTATCCCTTCAGGAGGAATAAACCTTGGGCATACCACCGTGAGTGGAGACATCTCATCGTTATTCCTTCCAACGTCTAATTTGTTGAATGCAGTATTACAATACTCTCGCAATCGTCCCTTATTGTAGCTAAGCTGATGATGTCCTATCGAACTTGAAGCGTCGCATTGACATTTTGTACTGCTAGTGAACTGTAACTGTAGCCTAATTGAAATTGCGAAGTTATGTGAGTTGGGGTTCACCTTGACCGAGTGAAAGAATTACCATGCCTCATCAGACGGATGGTCACAATCACGGATCTCGGATGTCGGATGTCACAGTTCAAACCACTTGCAGAACAGCAAGTGCCACAACTTAGTGCCACATATCTGAACGTTTATTTTGCTAGCGTTCGAAAAAACGCGACAGTGGCGCTTTGGCGGAGTGGTTAACGCGATGCCCTGCTAAGGCATTCCCTTCGGGGGCGTGTGTTCGAATCACACAGGCGTCGAACTTTTTCCAGCTGCGTTTCATCCTCTCACTCTCGCTGACTTTGGCATCTGCGTAACGTAATAATGATTGCTTCGGTTGCAATGGCAATTCCTTATCTAACCGTCCACCGGCTCTCACGCATGCTTTTTCATCAGTAGTCTCTTAATATGAATCGTGCAACCACAATCTATGATACAACATGCGGCCATTGCTTGCTCCTGGATCGCCTCAAAGTCTTCTTCCAAGTTTCCATTCAAGTTACTTTCAACTTGATTGGAGCAGGAAACATGTAGATCCTAAGTTTCTTTGGTCAGGTACCTATCTACACGGGTCGTATATATACAGAACCGTTGCTGATGACTGGAAATGAACTTCCTAAGGAACATGACAAGAACAGAAAAGAAAGTGTTGAAAAAGAAACCACCTTAAGGACTACACTCGGGCAGGACTACATTACCAAGCAAAGATTGGCGTAGGCACCCGCTCTATTTCCCTTCGCTGTATCAGTGATCTTTGATCCTCCACCCAGGTTTTGGTTTGCTGTAACCCTCCACCTCCGCCTCCGCTCCTCACTGGATCAACATCCTCATCGTCATCGGTATTAGCATCGTCCAGCCACCGTGCCGCTCCGCTCATCCATATGACGTCGCCTAAAGCCTTGTGATAGAAGGCAAACATTCCGGAGATATCCTCAACTTCATGGCCATCTTTGTCTCTCACAGTCGTAGCTAGAAGCGCGCTCGACTCGTGATATGTTCTACCATAACTTCCTGGGAGTCCCTTTTCCCGTTCCAAGTCAATCATCTCTTGCAGTAAGGCGTCATCCCTTGCAGTCCAGGTTCTCCCTCTCGGAAGGTCCTTCATGCGAGTATAGTCGGTGACTATTGCAGAATCAAACTTGTTGCCACCATTTCGTAGATGCAGAATCTTCTTCATAATCAGCAGGTTAAATGCGGAGTAAATACTTGAATTGCTCACCAAATTATTACTTTCATCCCTCTCAAACCACACTTGGAACGACCCAACTCGTGCATGAACCGATGAGTGAATAAGGATCATATTGGCAGGGGTGTCGCATACTGCTTCATGATATTCAGCGCCGAAAATCCGCGAGATCCAAGGCCAAAACTATTTTTACAGTCAGGAATATTCAATAGAGATCTCGTCAAAGCTTACGGGTGATGGTACTTTCCATGGCAAGAGGTGGGCCACTTGACAAGGGTCGTCTGCTTTTGGAATTCCAGATACTCGGCAGCAATTGTTATCGCGCTTGCAAACCTAGCACTCAATAAGCAAGGTAATGAGAGAACAGAGTAAGACGAGAACATTCGCAATATGGCGGCCATTTCGGGAGTTGGCACTAGAGGGAAGAGAAGGGGGAGGAGCAGCAGGAGCTGAGGTGGTTGACTTGACGGATGCGTCTGAGTAAGGCACACTTGATGCGGGAGTTGCCGGTTTGGTGGCTTTCGCTATCACTGCCATTAAACCCTTTCAACAAGAAACAAACGACATGCCTACGCAGATACACTGACTCTTCATATTGCGAATGAACGACCGTAATCGGTGTCGACACCTCAGGACGAATTCAGCAAAGCTCCGACTGAGCTTCTCAGAAGTAACGTGCTCTTCGACGGGTCTCCTTTTGTTCACCTCCTCCACGACTGCCTTTCGATCCCATCGAATGAAGCCTTTCAAAATGTCTCTGTCCTCTTTCGCATCTTTAGAGGACAAAGTTATCATCTTCTTCTCGTGATTCATCACAAGGACCGCTTCAGGCGGTTCGAGTTTATCGATTAACCCCAAAGTAAGCTGGATTAGATCGCGGTCAGAGAGCTGTTCCACGGATTCCTTGACAGATTCCGGTAGATCGTGTCCTGGATAATCTAGCACATCGATTTCCTGTCCTAGCTGACATGGGGGAGGGGCTTCAGCTACAAGCTCGTCGAGCAGGTGCTGAAGGTGACGAGAAAGTGGAGCGGGTTCTGTTGTTGGCGCAGACATTAAAGGAAAACTGATTCTCACTTTTATTGCCTGTTGGTCTGATTCTCACTTTTATCGCCTGTTGGTCCGGTGGTTTGGTTGTTGGTTGGTGGCGTTTGAGAATGAGGCACATTTCACGATCCCGTCCATTTACCTGGTTGTCATCAACCTTTCACCAACAACCTATGCCCCCCGCTCATCGCTACATAGCTACTGGCTCACCTCATAGTATTCTTTTCTTCAAGTTACTTTCAACTTGATTGAAGCAGGAAACATGTAGATACTAGAGAGGGTTAGGAAATTCAAAATTTGACTTTTTTCAGACTCGGAAATTCAAAAATTGCAACACACAGTTTTCTATATCCTAATAGGTACAGTCATTTGCAAAATTAGTGTCGTTTCTCGCTCGTCGTCAACTTCATGCCGGCCACTCTCCGGGTGGCAAATTTACGTCATTGTCCGTGACGGCGCAGATCACGTGCATGCAGCGAATGATTTCTTGGACATTCTGTTTCGAAAGAGAGCTTAATAGGTAGGAATGTGAACACACATCCTGGGATGCACATTAGACCATAGGAATTTGCCTGAAAGACATGTCAAAAGGCGTTTGTTGGACTTGTTGAGTGTTGACGCGTGACCAAAAGCGCCAGCCTGCGCCGCTTTGCGACGCGGAAGGCGGCCGGCATGAAGTTGACGACGAGCAACAAACGACACTAATTTTGCAAATGACTGTATTTGAGGCTCCCTGGATGTCTATAAAGTGATTCTGAGGCCGATTGAGTGGATCTTAAGGAAGATATAGCAGCCTTGCAGCATCTGGCTGTAGTTGTGCAGTAGTTTTTCCTGTAGTGTTCACGACGTCAACCAGTGTCAACCAAAATGCCTTCACCAATGCTCTCTACCACCCTGCACGGAATACTATTTGGCTCTCAAGCCCCTGCTAGAAGCTCCATCGTCAACATACTCGAAAGTTGTACAGGAGAGGAGGATATTCTTGACATGAGAAGCTGTCAAACTTTAGTGACCATACAACGGAGAGAATAGTACTCACGAGAATAGGTATTGGGGGGCTTGCAACGCCTCCTGACCTAGTTGTAGTTGGACTTGATGGCATGTAGATGGTGAATGTCGTTCCCAGAAAGTGCCGCACGTGATGTATGTTCCCCTCAAAATTCCATGACTTCAAACAGCTCTCCCTCAGTCCACAGCAACCACAGCAAGAACAGAATTGCAGCTACAAGCTCAGTGACTGTATTTCTACATTCCTATTGCATTTTTACAATTTATTTGAAAATTCAAGAAACTTTTTTGAATTTCCTAACCCTCTCTACTAAGTTTCATTGGTCAGGTACCTATCTACACGGGCCATTTATATACAGATCTAGAAGAGTTGCTAATGACAAGAAATGAGCTTCATAGGGAACATGATCGGAACAGAAAAACAAAATGGGAAACTACCTTCAGGACTGCACTCGGGCTGGAGTACATTACCAAGAAAAGATGGGCGTTGGCACCGGCTCCATCTCCCTTTGCTGTGTGATTGATCTCTGATCCTCCACCCAGGTTTTGGTTTGCAGTAACTCTCCACCTCTGCCTCCGCTCCTCACTGGATCAACATCCTCATCATCTTCACTATCAGCATCATCCAGCCACTGTGCCGCTCCACTCATCCATAGCGCGTCACCTAGAGCCTTATGATAGAAGGCAAACATTCCGGAGATATCCTCAACTTCATGGCCATCTTTGTCTCTCACCGTCGTAGCTAGAAGCGCGCTCGACTCGTGATATGTTCTACCATAACTGCCTGGGAGGCCTTTTTCCCGTTCCAAGTCGATCATCTCTTGCAGTAAGGCGTCATCCCTCGCAGTCCAGCTTCTCCCTCTCGGAAGGTCCTTCATGCGACTAAATTCGGTGGGTATGTCTGAATCGAACTTTCTGGCACCATTTCTTAGGTGTAAAGTCTCGCTCATGATCAGTATGTGAAATCAAATGAACTTTAATTGCTCACCAAATTATCGCATTCGTCTCTCTCAAACCATATTCTGAACTCCCCAAGTCGTTTCTGAATCGTTGAGCGGATCAGGATCATGTTCGCGGGAGTATCGCATACTTCTTCATGAAATTCAGCGCCAAAAACACGAGAGATCCAAGACCAAAACTGTCTGACAGTCAGGGATATTCAATGACCATCTGCTGTGGGAAGCTTACGGGCGAGGATGGTTTCCACGCCAGGAGGTGGGACACTTCGCAATAGAACTCTTCGCCGGTTAGCCGGCAGCAATTGTTATCGCGCTTGCGAACCTAGCTCTCGGTAAGCACAGTAACGGAGGCAACAGGACAAGGTAAGAACATTTGCGACATGGCCGTCATTTCTTCGAGAGGCAGCACCGGAGGGTTGAGAGGGGGGAGGACTGGCGAGAGCTGATGTGGTTGACCTTACGGATGGGTCTGAGTAAGGCATGCTTGACGCGGGAGTTGCCTGTTTTCCGGTTTTCACTATGACTTCCATTAAATCCTTTCGACAAGAAATAAATGACATGCCTACATCGACACACTGAGTCTTCATATTACGAATGAAGGACGGTAATAGGTGTCGATACCTCAGGACGAATTCAGCAAAGTTCCGGCTGAGCTTCTCGGAAGTAACGTGCTCTTCGACGGGTCTCCTTTTGTTCACCTCCTCCACGACTGCCTTTCGATCCCATCGAATGAAGCCTTTCAAAATGTCTCTGTCCTGCTTAGCAGCTTTAGAGGATAAAATCATCTCGTTCTCGCGATTCAGCACTGGGACGGCTTTACGGGATTCGAGTTTATCGATTAGCTCGAGAGTAAGCTGGATTAAATCGCTGTCAGAGAGCTGTTCCACAGACTCCTTGACGGATTCTGGTAGATCGTGTCCTGGATGCTCTTGCAGGTCGATGTCCTGTTGTGGCTGATGTGGGCGAGAGCGTTCAGCTATGAGCTCGTCGAGCAGTTGCTGAAGGTGGCGAGGCAATGGAGCGGTTTCTGTCGTTTGCCCAGCTTCAGACATAATCGCCT